CCTTTTTTTCTAATATATTTTCCCCTCTGTGGCACCTTTCTCCATTCCAGGCCCACCCAGTTTAAGACCCATGCCATCTGCAAAAATTACCCTCTCATGCCAGCCCACTCTAATCACCTGGACATGATCTGTTTTCTTGCGCGTTTCACTATCCCTTTGCCTAGTCATCCTACGCCTGCCCTCCTGAGATCAAGCGTGACATAAAGACGGCCGCTCTTGCCACGTCTTTTCAACCTGGTACTAGAGGTTCCAGCCGCCACAATTAAGTCAGAAAAGAAAGTCAAAGGCATCTGGATTGTAAGAAAGAAGTCAAACTATCTCTACTTGCAAATGACAGATGCTGTATATTTTTAAATTCCTAAGAAATCAACCAAAAAAAAAAACTACTAGAACTAATAAACCATTTGAATTCACTGCAATCTCTATCAAAATCCCAGCTATCTTTTTTGCAGAAAACGACAAACTGATCCTAAAATTCACATAGAAATGCAAAGGAACCAGAATAACCAATACATTCTTGAAAAAGAAGAGCAAAGTCAGAAGACTTGCACTTCCTGATTTCAAAACTTGCGAAATTGCCATAATTAAGACAATGCTGTACTAGCATGAGGCTAGATACAGAGATCAAAGGAATACAATTGAGCGTCTACAAATAAGCCTTTACACTGATGGGCAGTTTATTTTCAGCAAGGCTGCCAGGGCAATTCAATGGGGAAAGAATAGTGTTGTCAACAGACAGTCCTGTAACCATGGGATATGCAAGGAAGTTGGACCTTGACCTCACACCAGGTACAAAAATTAGCCCAAAAGGACCACAGGCCTCCATGTAAGAAGCTGAATCTACAAAATATCTAGAAGAAAGCATGGGAGTAAATTTTTGTGACAGATCAGGCAATGGTTTCTTAGGTATGACACCAAAAGCACAAGCAGTAATAGAAAAAAATCAATAAGTGCATACAACAAAAAAGAAACAGACTGACAGATGCAGAGAACAAACTAGTAGTTACCAGTAGGGAAAGGGAAAGGGATGGGGCCATACAGAGGGAGGGGATTAAGAGGTACAAACTCTCCTGTGTAAAATAAGCTACACAGATACATTGTACAACACAGGGACCATAGCCAATAATCTATGATAACCGTACATGGACAGTAACCTTTAAGAATTGTGAATCACTACATTCCACACTTGTAACTTATATAAATTGTACATCTACTGTACTTCAATATAAAGAAAGGGAAGTAAAAAGAAAAAATGGATAAATGGGAAGACCTCACGTGGGGAGGGTATAGCTCAGTGGGAGAGCACATGCTTAGCACGCACAAGGTTCAGGGTTCAATCCCCAGGACCTCCAATTAAAATAATAAATAAATAAATAAACAAACCTAACTACCCCCCAAAAAAACAAAAACAAAAATACATTTTTTTTAAAAGTGGGAGGACTTCATGAAAATCAAACAGTTTGCACTTCAAAAGACACCATCAAAAATAAAAATAAAAAGTTTGAGAATAGACAACCCACTGAAAGGTCGGAAATATATGCAAATCATATATCTGATAAGGTATTTGTATAAGAATATATACAGAACTCCTACAATTCAACAACAAAAAGACTAATAACCCAACATTAACATGTGCAAAGGATTTAAACAGACATTTCTCCAAATAAAAAAATACAAACGGCCAATTAGCTCATGCAAAATATTCATCCTTCGTCATTAGGGAAATGCAAATCAAAACCACAGTGAGATACCACTTCACTTCCACTAGGATGGTTAATAAAATTGTTTAAGCGGACAATATCAAAATGTTGGCAAGGAGTGAGGGAAAGGTGAACCCTTCTTCACTGGTAGTGAGATTGTAAAGTAATGCAGCCACTTGGGAAAACTTAAGCAGTTTCTCAAAAAGTTAAGCATAGAGTTACCGTATGACCCAGCAATTCCATTTCTAGATATATAACTAAGAAAACACATGTCCACACAAAAGCCTGTACATGAATGTTCATAGCAGCGTAATTCATAATAACCAAAGAACAGAAAAAACCTGAAAACACACAGATGTTGAACATTTTCTGTTAACTATGGCCTCCGTTCAGGGCTTACGATAAACAAATGCCAAAACATCATTAGATAGCGGGAAAAAATATATTAGGCAAAATGCTTGTGAAAGATATAGGGGGAGAGGAAAGTCATCCCCCACAAAAGACCCCCCAACTTCTATAAAGCATAGTTCAGCTGTCACGGAGGAGAGGGACAGAAAGCCACCGGCTCGTTTGCAAACTGGCCCCAGCTCATGGAGGGCACGGAGAGACCCAAGAAGGAGGCAGAGCCCTCCAGGCGGGCAGTGATAGTGATAAAAAGCAGGGGACTTACATACAAGGCTTGTCTTGGGGCCACAAGTAGATCTTCACCTTCACAGGCCAGGATCTTAAAAGTTTACGCAGAAGCCTTTGCTGGGTTCAGACTCGCAGACGGTTCAGAGGGTCTGCACAGCACACTGTTCTCTCGATGCTCTCCTGAAAATGGCTCCTACCGTGGGAACCGCGGCCAAGTGTACATTTCAAGGAGAGGAGGGGGTGGGGCGTCTCCAATCACGCAGGTCAATCAGCAGTCACGTCCTCTCCGTGACCTCCTCTAATGGAACTGAACGGGACCCTACGGAGCTTTCCTGGAACAGACTCCCTCCCCACCCCATGTCCTCCACCTGCCTCTTGTTTGTAGAAAAATTTTAGCCTCCTAGGCTTTCCCCAAGTTCCAAAGGTTAAATTTAATCAGAGAAAATGCAGAAATAAAGGAAAACAGTCAAGCTAGACAAAATAATATAGCCATT